CGGAAAACACCCTTTTTCGCAAGATCCTGTAAACCTCGATTTTTGAGAAATAAGGGATCTTGTGAAAAAGGGGTTTTTTCCCCCAACAAATGGCCCCATCTACATGGGACTTGTTATTGGCAAAACCTCTTCCACAAAAAGAATCAGAAGAAGATATGCAAATGAGAGCATGATTTGCATATTCTCTTCCACAAAAAATTGCAGTGTAGCCGTAGCCTAAAATAAAATAGAGGCTGTTACATTTGAGTGACCATGGCATACTGATACTGGAGCTGATCTGGTAATAAAACAAATGGATATGTGGATGAGTTCATTAATAAACAACACAAATTCAATTCAGTTGTTCCAAGGGAGACAACCCTGTGAAATGATTCACTTTGGCTACATCTACACTGCAGGCTTCTTGCTCAAGAACTGTTTTGTTCAAGAGTTCTTGTGCAAAAGGTCTTCCACAAGACTGCATCCACACTGCCATGTGCTTTTGCGCAAAAGCGTCCATGGCAGTGTGGATGTTCTCTTGCGCAAGAAAGGTCTGATGGCCATTTTAGCCATAGGGGTTTCTTGCGCGAGAAATTCATATTGCCTGTCTACACTGCCTTCTTGTGGAAGAGCTCTTGTGCAAGAGGGCTTATTCCTCATGGGGAGAGGAATAACTCTTCCAGAAGAAGCCCGGTTTTCCGATGCTTTGCCGTAAATTTACTTGCGCAGGAACGCGTGTGCAGTGTAGATGCTCTGCAAGTTTTTGTGCAAGAACAGCTGTTCTTGTGCAAAAAGCCTGCAGTGTAGATGTAGCCATAGAGTTTGCAGGATCTAGGCTACAATTTATAAGCAGAGATGATGTTTTCCTATGTGTTTGTACATTGACTCTCATAATAGGGCCCCAATTTCACCAGAAGAATATGAGCACTTCCACAATACAATAAATGAAACAACTAAAACAATTAATTTATAATAATTCATACCAAAAAATATGCACACAGAAAAATATGAATGATGTAACATACTTGTAGAATCAACTGCTTTAAACAAACAGTAACCTACATAGCATATTCACAGTCTGGCTTGAATTCCTAGTTTCGTAACTCCTTAGACACTTGATATTAATGTCAGCAAGGATCAAAGTCTGGAGCCTTCATTAAAAGTCATCGGACTAGCATACTATTGTCTGGGACTGAGAAACCCCATCAAAAATGAAGGCTCTATTGTCTGTACAAAGAGTCCGTGCCCTGAAAAGCTTAATAGATGAAAAGAAGCACTCTTGCCCCCATTTTATAGATGGGGATCTGACACACAGGCTGTATCTACACTGGGCCACTTATTCCGGAAAAGCAGCCGCTTTTCCAGAATAACTTGCCAGCTGTCTACACTGGCTGCTTGCTTTTCCGGAAAAGCAATGACGATCTACTGTAAAATTGTCAGTGTTTTTCCGGAAAAAACTATGCTGCTCCCGTTCGGGCAAAAGTCCTTTTCCGGAAAAACTGTTCTGGAAAAGGGCCAGTGTAGACAGCACAGTAGTCTTTTCCGCAAAAAAGCCCCGATTGAGAAAATGACGATCGAGGCTTTTTTCCGGAAAAGCGCGTCTACATTGGCCACGGACGCTTTTCCGGAAAAAATGCTTTTCCAGAAAAGCATCCTGCCAATGTAGACACGCTTTTTCCGGAAATACTTATAACGGAAAACTGTTCCGTTTTAAGCATTTCCAGAAAAGGGTGCCAGTGTAGACGTAGCCACAGAGTTTAAGGTCTTTGGGACCTAATGATGCAATGAGGCACCTATGAGATTGTCAAAGACCTTGGCACTAAGCTACCATTGAAATCAGTCTCACTGAGTGTCTATCTGTACCTTTAGGTGCCTTAAGAACTTTAAATGTGATCCTGTGTGATTTGGCCAAGGTTACAGAAAGCTGGAAAGTTAAACCAGAGCTGAGTACAGAAACCAAATCTCCTGTGTTCCCAGCCAGGACCTAAACCACAATCATTCCTATCCCATCTTTCGTTTTAGTACTTTCTCTATAAGACCAAACATACTGAAATTCCTCATGACTAAAAATGGTGGATTCTAAATTAAATGCTTAGAGACTAGCTTTGCAGAGTGAAAATACTCCTCATGATCTTCTCAGAGGCCGAGGTCATGGAGTCTGTAGCTAGCCTAGTAAATGTGTGGAAACAACTTTTAGAAGATCTGACTAAGAAACTGAGCTGGATAAAAGCTCCTAAACTGTTCAGGTTCCAGGGGATGTGTTTTCCTTGTGCGAGTTAAAATACTTGTGAGAACTATTTCCAACATTCACGCAAAATGTAGGGTGACCAGATGTCCCCTATCACAACCATCCTGATTTTAGAGACTTTGTCTTATGCAGGACACTATACTCCCACCCCTGAAAAAACAGCGTCCACATTTTTCACTCTTATTGTCTGGTCACCTAACAATTTTGTATGCCAAAAGAATGACATGTTTTACATGAATCTATCACATGGATCAGGGAAAAGTGCAGACCAGCCTTTCCCTCTCTCATCCCACAGAAAGACCAAGGACAGAAGCAGGTGGTGGGAGGTGTGGTGCCAAATCTCCTCCCTTGTAGTAAAAGAATAGTAGGAATGTATTCAGATTTATAATTGCTTTTACATGGTAAAGAAATAGAGACTACAGATATGTAGAAGTACAATATTAATGAAAGACTCCTACAATAAATGAGTATATTTCAGCCAACATGCTTATCTTTTTATTCATATACTACACTACCAAGGCTGAGGTGCAGTAACATAAATTAGACTTTATTGAAATTTGCTTTTTGTTGCCTAAGTTCTGTACCATTAACTCCCAAGTATAAATTCAGGTCAATCAAACTGCTCAAAGTCTTGAGGCCTCAAATAGGGTTTTAAGATACAAAATGAGGGACATAAAATAAAATAAAATAAAATAAAATAAAATAAATAACATGGCATTGCACATTACCAGTATTAATTTGATAGTCTAAATAGCTTTTGGCCCACTTCTGATCTCAGTTACAGTAATGTAAAAACCCAGCTATTCCATTACTTTCAATAGGTCCATACCTAATTGCTATAAACATAAGGAAGAGAAAAATTGGGGCTGTTGTCTACAGGCTTGATATTTTGATTCAGCTTTTCTGATGTAAACCGCCTCCAATAATAAAAATGAATACCCAGCAGATCTGTGTGGGAGCGAGATAAAATAGGATCTAAAATGAGAACCATCCATTGTAAGGCAAAAAAAGTGTTTTGTAAGGTTTAAGAGTGTGACCATCCATGTGTTTAAGTCTTTGTACACTTTTATTATACAAATATTTCATGTTTAAATGCTCTGTTCCATACCTAAGAATGAAAGGGATTTCATTTGTACACTGCTAGTATACAATTAGTGTTTGAAAAGTTGTCTCACATTTGCTGGTATCTGTTTCCACAGCCTAACAGACCCTGCTCCCTCTTCTGGACAGAAATGTAACAAGGAAATTGTTGCCTCCCTCTGACTAGGCTGTTGAACATGGGGAGCTGAATATGGGAAAGAAATGTTACAGTCCTTTGGCAACCTTCAGAGATGTACTTCCATTCAACTATTACATTAGGGTTCATTTGCTCTGTACTAAGAGCTTTCAGGATTTGTATGAAAGAGCCCAGAAAACATCCATCAACAATCTCTGCTCAGCTCACAGGTTAATACATTTTTTTAGAAAGAGGAGAATGGGAAAGAACAAAAATCCACCAATCTCTCAAGTATTTTTGCACCAAAGATAAGGGGCACTGCAGAATTTAAAAGGAAATAAGCAGAAATGCTATGGTTGGCAATAGAGGACTTGCCAAAAAAATGTGCCCAGAACATGTCATACAAACAATGTCAAAACAGATTCATAAAAAGAATTAAAAAGTTGTTTGCTTGGGTGAGAGTGTGGGGAGGGTTGGACAGGGTGATAAGGTCTTAAATAATTTCTCTATTACTTCTAACCAACCTCCACAATGTCACTTCTGAGATTTCAATAAATGTAGCATGACTGTTTACAATACAATTGCACCTAAATATACGAGATAAGGGGTAATACTATAAGCAAAATCCTTTTTATAATAAAGGGATTAAGATAATTAGGATTGAAAAGTACACTGTATATTTTAGTTGGAACAATAACTGTCTGTACATCTGCTATTGTGTTTTCTCATTAGACAATAACAATTGAAAGAGAAATCTCATAATTTAAAAACGTCTGGAATGTGCTCTTTTTGTTGAATTTCAGGTTTGCATACAATGATTTCCAGTTCATAGTATCTTATTCCTTGCTCGTGTTTGGGTACAGACACTGTTGCACACATTTAAGATACATGTTTTGCCTTCCCTCAAGCTTACAGTGGAAGCCTGATACATAGTAAAACACTCTAAAAAAAACCCTCTCAATTTAGCTCAGAGCAGCGATCAACATTCACAAGGGAAGGAACACTTCGTGCCCTATTCACAGAGTGAACTGTATTTTGAAAATAAAGTTTCAAATTAAAAATTGTATTTCTTAATCTAATATTAGCAGTAAGCATGAATCATGTTTAAATATTAAAAATTATTGTTATCTTGAGATTCAAGCAAATTACAGCAGGACTCTTCTATTGAACTCCTATCCTACTGGTGTCAAAAACTATGGGCCCAATCCTGCAATCTTTTATTCAAGAAAGTTTCCTAATGAATGAAAGTTTGCCTGAGTAAAATCTGTTGAGTAGATCCTGGGAACAGGTAGAAATGCCTCCTTCAGTGAAAAGAACCTTGTCTGTAAACATATTTCAAAGTTTCTACACGGGGAGAAGTTCTTTAACTCTTGTGCACAATAGATTTAAGTTTCCTATTAAAGGAATCAGAGTAAATACACAGTGTGATACTGCTGTTTTCTGAACACCATGTGATAAGAGATCAGGATTCTTCTCTTATCAAAACAGTTACTCAGTGAATCTTCATTATCTAAGAGATAACCAGGAAGAAATTTAATAAATATTTTACCCATTGCATCAAAAATAAATATCATTTATAAAACATCCAGTACTTATGCTTCTCATCATAATACAGTGTATAGAAATATGTCCAATACAGATGATATTTACAAATGTTCGTCTGAATCTTTAATGCATTCTTCTTCCAGTTACATTAAAATTATATAAAATCCACAATGTCATTTCTGTCATACTTATACCATCAATGTATATTAAAGGTAAAACTAATTATCTTTATGAGAATACAGAGGGTTTCAAGTAGGAAGAATGGCTTTGAATATTATATTTGTCATCGTTTTAGAATTGCAGCCAATGTTTAATTGAGAGGAATTTGATATTACTTAACCAAATAATAGAACATATAAAAGCAAGTTGTCTTTTTGAAAAACAAGTTTAATGATACAGTAATAGCTGTAGTATCATCCAGTAAAAGTGTATGGTAAAAATGTTCTGAATATTAATTTACCTCAGATAAATTTAGAGTTGTAAATACTTGCATTATAGTGAGGTAGCCAGTAAAAAAATTCTTCATTATTAACACAGAATTTAAATCTTGTAATAATATTTTAAGGAAATGATATCTTTAAGGAAGAATGAAAAATCTGATTAATGCTTAATTCTGTACAACTCAAATATAAATTTTTAAAAATATTAGAAATAACATTTTGAGTGCATATAATGTTTTGTACATTTAAAAAAGAAATGCATGTTGTTCGCCTCCATTTTGCACTTCTCAGTCTGTTTAAATAAACAAATATTTACAGCTTTAATATGAACAACAGTGCATCCAAAGCAAATGTGCATTTTAAATTATTGCTTCTGGTCGAGTCCTTTTATTAATTATTATTATTAGCATTTTATATTATTAATTATTATTATTATTATTACTCTCATCTTTTTTCACCAGTTTGAAGCTTTGTGAAACCAGATAAGCTAACAGTACTACAATTCCATGAGGGGGAGTCTAAATTTATAAATGTACTAGTTAAAAATAAAATGATTTAGGCATGCTAAGAAGTGCATTTTCCTTAGGTAAAGCCATGTTTCAGACTAAAGGTGGGAAGGAAACAAAAATCTTTACAAATGCTATTTCCAGCACCATATTTCCATATAATACTGTTGTGGGTTGATACAGCTACCTGTGGAATGTGTTAATTGAATAGTTACATGCTTTTTCTTGAAATTAAAAGGCGCTTCCATTCCAAATCACTCCTGTTTGTGTTTTTTCTAACACTTTGCTCTTTTCACAGTTTTTCATTACTAAGTCTTAAAATATAACCCAACTGGTAATTAGAATCTGGATTTTTTTTTTGGAGGGGAGGGGGCCCTAGGCTATTTCTGGCTGGTAATTTTGCAGGAATGTGAAAGAGAGAGGGCAGAAACGAAATCACCCTTTTTAGGGAAACTTCAGAAGCAGGAGTCATTCTGCTCTCTGGCTCTGATTGGTTTTGTACTTGGTAAATTTCCTTCGCCCTTAAAGGAGGTATAGAGCATCGGATAATTGTAAGGGAAAAGTCCTTGGAATCAAAACTTTATTGGGGACTGTTTTGTTTTGTTTTTGCCTCTTCTGCTTGCTAGCTCCACGACTCTCCGCATGCCAGCCCAGGAGAAAAATCTTGCCTCTTGCTTTCCCTTAATCTTAAATGAGCTCAGTGTGAACAGGTGCCTATCGCAGCATCTTGTATACATACTGGGGAGAGCAATCGACAGAAAAGACGTGCAGCAAAATGCCCCTGCTCTCTCCAGACTTGAGGCCCACAACGTGAGGCGCAGGTTCCCGTCCAGTTGGAAGGACGCTTTTGCAAAAGAGTGTCCCCTTCTTCCCCTCCCACTTTCGTGCCTCCACTTCCCCCCAGCACTCTGAAGGAAGGGCGGGCTTGAGTCTCCTGGCGCGCAAAGCAGGATCTGGACGGTGGGCTCCCCAGTGGCAGGTTTTTTCCTGCAGACTGAGCAGCCGCCCCCGGCGCTGGCTGGGCGAAGGCAGCTAACACCCTTTCAGCCCTCTCAAGGATGCAGATCAGGTCGGCCAATGCCTCCCCCGGGAGCGGCCCCCCTTTCCCTCCCGTCCCACGGGGGGGGGATCTCCGACTCCACCAGCCCCCTCCTGCCCTTTGAGTTCACGGCTCGCTCCCGGCGGGGGAGCGGCGAGGCGCCTGCTACCTGCAGCCGCAGGACTCCACCACCATGTCTTCGTACTGCTTGTACACCACGTTGTTGCCCGCGTCGATGTAGAGGATGCTGATGGGGGTGAGCTTGGTGGGCACGCAGCAGCTGGGCGGGGTGGCGCCGGGGTCCATGGAGTTCATGAGGGTCTGGATGATGGCGTGGTTGGTGGGCTCCAGGTGGGAGCGCAGGGGGAAGTCGCACACCCCCTCGCAGTGGTGGGCCTCGTACTCCAGCGGCGCGATGATCCAGTCGTCCCAGCCCAGCTCCTTGAAGTTCACGGGCAGGGGCTTTTTGCT